GTAGCGCGAGTCAGCGCAGCCCCGTCAGGTGAAGTAGCGCGAGTCAGCGCAGCCCCGTCAGGTGAAGTAGCGCGAGTCAGCGCAGCCCCGTCAGGTGAAGAAGCGCGAGTCAGCGCAGCCCCGTCAGGTGAAGAAGCGCGAGTCAGCGCAGGCTCGTCAGGTGAAGTAGCGCNAGCGCGAGTCAGCGCAGCCCCGTCAGGTGAAGTAGCGCGAGTCAGCGCAGCCCCGTCAGGTGAAGTAGCGCGAGTCAGCGCAGCCCTGGGAGGTGAGCATGTGTCCTATTAGGTGAGCTAGTGGCCTGAAAGGTGAGAGAGTGTGTTCCCATGCTTAAGGGTTTGCCAAAATGAACCATATAACACATTTTTACATCAGATCCAAAATGGTAGCATCGATCCTGGCTACCCATCAACCCCCCCCCCAATTCTATCTCGTTTTCAGCAGTTGGAAATGCAGGCTGGCGGCTCAGCAGTAAATTGGCTTTGCACACGCCAGAAGCTCCCTGATCCGTGTGTGTGTGTGTGTGTGTGTACATGCAGCACTCCTATAATGGCTCCCGGTAGGGTGGGGTTGGCGGAGGGGGGTGTGCGTGACTCAGACTCTGCCTGAAAGGGGCGCTGCCTTCCCGGGCCCCTAAACGAGGCCCCGTCCGGCTCAGTGCTGTCAGGAAGCCTCACATGTGGCCTTGGGTAACCCTCAGCTTGTCTCAGTGGCGATCTTGCATTATTCATGAGGAGCGTGTCCCATCACGTGCCTCAGAGCGCGTCTGGGCTCATTTCCGGGCAATTTAAAAGCCGCGGTCTGGCCGCCCCTTATCCCGCCGCGCCCTCGCCAGCCTTGTTCCCCGTGGCTCCGCCGTCTGTCAGAGCTGAGTGCCAACACCCAATTAGCGCATGTTGGGGATAACGGGCATTCATGCGTTGGCAGCGAGGAGGCGGCCTGGGAACACTGGGAGCTCAGCCGGGCCTAGCCCCTCTTCACCCAGCCACTCTGCTGCCCCCCCCCCCCCCGAGTATGCTTCAGGAGGAATGGCGCCACCTAGTGGCAGTGTAGTATTACGCTTGCATTACATTTAGTATCATGGTAGATGACACAGATAATGGCACCTAAATAACTGCATGCTGTTTAATACCCTTTCTCCTCATGCATGCCCGTCGTGCCCAGGTGAGTCGTGTTCTCTGTCCCTCCACGCAGGGTGTCCCCCGGGAAGTGTTACCACCTGTATAATGGCCTCCGTGCCAGCCTGTTGGATGCCTACCAGCTGCCCGAGATCCAGCGCACCCCCCTGGAGGAGCTGTGTCTGCAGATCAAGGTGGGCGTGGGGTCCCCTCATGCTTACACCCGCCATATAAAAAATTGTAGTTCAGCGGGTGACCTTTTGTAAAAACAACCAATCAGATTTCAGAAAGGGGCTTAATCTGGGTCACATCTGTAGAGTCCAGCTGTGAGAGGTTCACGCCCCCCCCCCCCCCGGGGAAGCAGTTTTAGATGGGAAATAGTTCCCTCCCCAGCTGAAAAGAGAAGATGATACTGATGGACCACTGGTTCTGGAGATCTCCTGTCTCCTGTAGATCCTCAAGCTGGGCAGCATCGCCTCGTTCCTGCAGAAGGTTCTGGACCCCCCCTCGGAGCAGGCTGTCCAGCTGGCCATCACCCACCTGATGGACCTGGTAAGGGAGGGGGGCGGGCGATACAGAGTCACTGTTCCAGCTTCTGATAGTCGGCCATGTTGAAAATGCCCGTTGCTGTGTATCGGGTCAGAACGCCCTGGACCGGGACGAGGGGCTGACGCCGCTGGGGGTGCACCTGGCCCGCCTTCCAGTCGAGCCGCACATCGGGAAGCTGATTCTGTTCGGCGCCTTGCTGGGGTGTCTGGACCCGGTGCTGACCATCGCGGCCAGCCTTAGCTTCAAAGACCCCTTCTTCATTCCGCTGGTACGGACACACCATGCCCACACGCACTGCTTTTGGCTCTCGCTCTTTGATGTTAAGCATCCTTTACATTTCAGGGCAAAGAGAAACTGGCGGATACCAGGAGGAGAGCCCTGTCAAAGAACTCCAAGAGTGACCACTTGACTGTTGTCAACGCCTGCCTCGTAGGTGCCTCAGAAGGCAGAATCGGGGCCTGATCCCCAGCCCTTCTGGTAGCGCAGTAACTCGCTGCATGTAGTCTGCACTGACACGCTATATTGGCGTTTCCTCGCCAGGGCTGGGAGGAGGCCAAACATCGTGGCTATAAGTACGAGAAGGATTTCTGCTGGGAGAACTTCCTGTCTGCCAACACCCTCCAGGTGAGATCGCTGGCTGTCTGCTGGCCAACAAGCAACCTGCAGCGATGCTGGATTGTTCTCTACAGACTAGGCAGACTAAGTTGGCTGGTGAGAGCCAGTTCTGGCTGGACCTGTGGTCATGTGACCCTGTTGATACATTGTTACCACCAGATGTTGCACAACATGAAGGGTCAGTTTGCTGAGCACCTGCTGGCCACAGGATTTGTCGGAAGTAAAAACCCCAGAGACGCTGCATCCAACGTGAACTCCGGTGAGCCTCTGCTGTCCTGTGTCACCTCCATCCTCTCTGCGAGCTGCTGGTCCTTGAGCTGACCTCCTCCTCATGCCTCTTCTCTACAGAAAACGAGAAGCTCATCAAAGCTGTCATTGTGGCCGGCCTGTACCCCAAGGTGGCCAAAATCCGACCCAGCTTCAGCAAGAAGAGGCCCAGGTCAGTCCCTGTTTGGGTGCTGTGATCCATAGCGCCGTTACTGTGATTTCTACTCCATTTCTCTCTTTGTGGTTCAGGGTTAAGGTATACACCAAGAACGACGGCAAGGTGAACATCCACCCCAAGTCTGTAAACGCGGAAGAGGCCGAGTTCCATTATACGTGGCTCATCTATCACCTGAAGATGAAGACCAGTAGTGTAAGTGCCCCCCCCCCCCCCGTGAGCCAGAGATTAGGTATCGTACCCCGGCTTGGGCTATGGTTATAGGCCTGATTGTGATTGGCTCAGCGTGGTGTATTGGCGGATGCCTGACCCTTCCTCATCCGTTACCCATCGCCATACCAACCACAATCACGCCTACAGTCATGGGAATGACCATGGCTGTATAAAATCATATGACACTGTGGAGCTGTTCGCGTTCACCCGTCTGGCACAGGAAGTCCTCACCTCACCCCCCCCCCCCCCCCCCACAGATCTTCCTGTACGACTGCACGGAGGTGTCCCCATTCTCGCTGCTTTTCTTCGGTGGGGAAATCTCCATCCAAAAGGACCAAGACCAGGACACCATTGCTGTGGATGACTGGATCGTGTTCCAGTCCCCAGCGCGCATCGCCCACCTGGTCAAGGTGAGGAAGACGTTCCCGACTGGCCGTGACGTGGTCACGCCAGGTGTCGTCTCATCAGCCACATGAGCCCTTGGCCCTCAGAAGCTGCCAAGCTCTCTGGCCTTTTGTCACTTGTGGACCAAGCACTTGAGTCGCAGCTAATGGTCCCATTAAAAATGTCCTTACAGAAACTGAAGAAGGAACTGGACACTCTGCTTGAGGAGAAGATCAGAAACCCGCAGCCGGTGGACTGGAGTGAGTCGAAGTCTAAGGACTGTGCGGTGATCTCGGCCATCATCGACCTCATCACCACGCAGGAGGGGGATGCTGGCTATGACAGAGGCATGCGTGGGGGGGACAGATACGATGATTAACACTGCCCCCCCTCCCCCCTCCCCAGGTATCTGTCACAAACCCCTAATACATAACTTATTTTGGAAAAGACTGTCGCATCCAAACATGTCGGAAGATGCAACACGAGATTATCTGATGCCTTTTTTAGTTAAAAATCTTTAATGGTGTCTGTTAAGTGAACATTCTGCAGTGCTCCGCAGTCCCCTTTCCCATTGGGAGAGTCTCTCTCTCCATGCATGAGCAATCGGCAGGATTATCAATTTTGTTTTTGTACAGACTGTTTATGTCCTGTGAGCCACCATCCCCCCCCCCCCCCCCCCCCCCCCCCAATTAAAGCTGCACATTATCTTAACCAGATTAGAAGGCAGCAAGCTTCCTGTCTAGAGTGGTTATGGTTTACACACCAGTCCAGCGGGACCAGTGCCAGACGTCATCCTCTTCCATGATGGTGGTCTGAGGAATCGTACTTGGGTGTAGTGCTGCTTGAGATACACTGTAGAGTCAACGCTGTTTAAATGCGCCCGTCAAATCTGTAGGTTTAAAACACATTGCTGGGTTTACAGTAATGATACATATTTGTCCCTGAGTAAATAGGACCTTGAGGCCAGATTGTAATGGTAAATGGTCAGTCCTTCCTTCTCAATATTACCCGTTTGTTGGTTGAATAACAGCCTTCAGTTTTTTTGATTGGTTGATAAAGATTCACTCTTAGGGGGCTTCAAGATTGACCAGAAAAACAGATAAAACCGTAAAATGTTGCCTCGCATATCACAGCAACCATGAGGGAAACTTCATATGGTTGTATCCTTCTTGATGATGTAAGCAGACATGGGGACGTCCCCGATGAGGCAGCTATAGCTACAGGTAGACAAAGGTGAGCCTGGCAGCCGGGGTGGTGCTCTTGCCGTCAGCCCAGGCCCCCCCGCCGCTAGCCGCTAGCTTCACACGTTGGTCTCCAGCCGCTGCAGCCGGTCCATCCGCTGTACGTTGCGCTGGATGGTGGCCTGACAGGTGATGACCTCCGCGCACTCCGCTGGGAACCAGCCGCACTCCCCGTCTCGGAGCCGCTGGCCCTCGTACCAACCTGGGGGGGGGCACACTGGGCGTCATACACACAGAGCGTCACAACAGGAAGCGGCAAGTAAAGGCGGTTCCATGGGAAGAACTTAAGTGAGGCCCACAGCGTGTTCAACTCCATTCTCTCCAGAAGCTTCTAAGCGGCCGTGGGCTCAGCTCTCTGTTGTATTTTTAATGGCCCATACAGGACCGAGAGGCCTTTTGATTGGCTATTCTGGTGGCGCTGGCCTTTTCACAAGAAGCGAAGGCCTCTCCACATGCAGCCATGCGCGGGGGGGGGGTGTCTCCTGGCGGTCTCTCACCGTCATCCACAGTCTGCCACAGCAGCACCACATCCGCCACCTGCAGCGAGAGCTCGTCGGGCTGCTTGGCCGTGTACGTCCTCGTCACCTCCACCTGGGCCAGCTCTGTGGGACAGACACACAGCCGGCTCGTTCCACTCGCTCCAAATGCAGACGTCGGATTATAGGCGAAAAAGGTCAATATTATTTACATGGAGTGAAACCCTAATAGTAGTATAGATGCTCCAAGAGACATCTTTCCTCTATTATAACCACCCCCCCCCAAAGGGGAAACAGTACTTTAATTAAATAAAATTATTGTACTTTTATATTTAGCCAGTCCATCTGAAGGTTTGTGGAGTTATGACCGTGGTTGTGCTTGTGGTTTGGTTGTTTTTGCTGGGTGACAGTAATGTAGAAAGTATCCGGGTTTGGCTTTGATTGAGGGCTGTCCAGACGTGCCCCTGGAGCACAGGATGGGCGATGATGTAATGCTGAAAGCTTAGTACAGCGGTTTGCTGGAGCTCAGTTTGCTCTGTGCACACCTGTGTCAACTAAAGGCCCTATTTTGAGCATCTTGCATTGTGCACATTATTGTAATTTAATTTTTCACGATATCCACTCCATCCTGGATGCAGGCGTGAGCAATAAGAGCCTTTCTGAAAATCCTAAACATACTGCCCTGCATAATAGGAATGAAGTCCGGGGTTCATTTTAAGGTGCGACTGTGCTGTGTGGCCAGTAGGGGGCAGCATGTTGCCAAATATAATTACAGTCGGCTGCACTCACCGGTTTTATCCATGTTCTTCCTGTCATTGGTGCTCTGTCCGAGGGCAGTGACCCAGCGGGCGCGCTCATTCCTATTACAAACAATGAGGGTAACACACACAAAGCTGTCAGCGGCCAATCAGCATGGAGGACACAGCCACAGATGTCAAAGCACTGCCCCTTCTGGCGGCATGAAGCGGACCGTCCCTAAGAATGGGCAAATATACAACATGGGGTTGTAAAGCAACACGATCTCCTCCCTCAGAGGTGCCCACTCTCCAGAGACCCCCTCCCTCCTCAGGTATGGTTTCCGTGGAAGATGATCCCAGAGATACAAACCCTTTCACGGAAAGGAAACCTTGTCGTGTCGGTTTTTCTGAATTCCCCTTTTGTTTCGCTTTTTGTCGGGTAACATGGTTGGCGTTCAGGAAATCCTACAAGCCTACAGCCATGTATTTAGTGAAAAACAATCGACTGGCTCTGTCGCTGGATACTTATGGACATACGGTCAGGTGTCCGTCTCATTGTGGCTAGAAGAATTCGGTGAAGGACTTTTGCAGTTGTTGAGCCTCTGAACAGATTGTGCAAATCATGTACAGTAACTGGAGACTGGTGACTGGGGCTCCGGTTTCACGGCCCAATGAAAGCCAATCTGCTCCAGCGAACGCGAAGAATAGCAAAATACCACAGTGTTCCAGGCAGAGGAGGCCAGCCACCTCCTCCGAATGAAATACCTTAAATACTGCGCGTTCAAAACCATTTCCCAACCCACTGAAGTAACCCTATAGCAGTGATCGCAGTAATATCGCACTGCGTGCAGCAGAAACCAGCTCAGGCTCTCGAATATTCAAGTGCCAGAGTCGAAAAAACACCATGATCCTTAAATCCTCTGACAACATCAGAGATGAATGCATCAAAGATAGCATTCTGCTAATGCAAAGCAAGGTCACAGCCGGCTACTTGTTGAGAAGAGCCTCCTTATGGCCTACAGATAAACTCGGTGAAAGTTCCTAAGAGTGTCAGTTACACAGAGAAGAGTTTCAGCGAAAGTGCGGAGCGGGTGGATACTGTGATAGCGTCACTGAGAGGGAGATCCCCCCCCCCCCCCTCACATATGGGGCACAATCATTCGTGTCCTGATTCGCACGCAGGGAAATTCCAGCAGTAACGATGGGCCCACAGGGTTCCAGCCAGCGGGATGACAAGGACTGTTGAGAGACGGCTCTTTATCACACCGATCTAACGTCCCGTGATATTTAAAGAGCCGCAGTCTTGTTGACTTCCTGACTCGCTCTGAGGGAGGAGTCATGAGCCCGTATATTTAGACTGGTGCAGAACCCAGAGGAGAAATTCTGGGCCCGAACCCAGCAAATTAAAAGCCACGAAGAGGCAGCTGTGAAGCCACAGACCACCTTCCATGGCGCGTAAACAAACAGGGCGTCACACTGGTGCAGACTGACAGAATCCCTGTGACGGAGAGGCCACAGGCTGGGCCCAGACGGCACACAATGGGCTGGATGTGGACGGGGGGGACCAAAGGGTTAGGCCCCCCCAGCCATGACCCAGCCGAGAGATGGACCCCGACTTCAACAGACTTTGCAACCGCCCAGCCTCACCCCCCCTCCCCCCACTTACTAGAAAGATGTAGCGCTCCAATTAACGGGAGGTTGCCTAGCAACAGACAAATAAACCCGCTCCCTGCCAGAGAGGACTGTAGCACGGAGTGCTTGTTTTTGGGGCAGGGAGGGAGTCTGGATCTATGACAAGAATCACAGGACTGTAAATTGTGCACAGGGCTTCGCGTTGGTGGGTTTTTCAATTACAGTGGTGTTTTATGAGAGAGAACAAGCACAGCATCCCCAGAGAGTGACTGCACCCAGGCCCCTCCATACGCACAGGCACTGGGAAGGGTACACCCCCTAACCCTAAACCCAACCCTAACCCCAACCCCACAGGGTGAGATCGGGCACAGAACCAGCTCCACAGACACCCACAATCATCTCCCACCAGACTCATACTAACTCATTTCTCACAGTTACCCCATATACTGTCAGACATTGAGTACACTCTGGGGGCTCTCCCATTGGTTACTCACAGTTGCTCGGCCCCCAGCACTCTGGACACCATCTCCTGCGAGTGGTTGCTGCAGAATCGCATTTTGAACAGGTGGCAGGCGACCGGCTGGCGGGACGTCAGCATGGAGCTTGGTGTTCGCACGGGGGAGAGGTTCAGCTCATCCGCTTGGCACAAGTCCACCTTTATCTGGTCCCGCAGGGCATAGTCCATCACCGTGTAGCTCTCCTCACTGCAGCAGCAGGGGGGTGAACCACGGTCAAGGGAGGCTGGACTCAGGAACAGTGATAAGCAGCAGACAGTAATTGAACTGAAAGGGACGCACAAGTCCGCTGTTTGGGAAGGAAGCTTTACTCACACCCACAATCTTGTAGGACCTAAAACTCATGGTCTAAGGTAGTGTTTCTCATCCCAGTCCTTGTGGACCCCCAGACAGTTAATACTTCTGCTCCCTACTCAAGGCCCAGTATGAGAAATATTGCTCTAAGGTTGGAGAGTGAGGCATTCAAACAAAAATGGGGGGGGGCGGCTTATCCAAGAACAACAGCTGGGACACTGCCAACAGCTTATTACTCATCTTACGTAACTGCCCCCAACTCGGGAAATTCAGCAGAAAGAACGTCATTATTTTCTCCAAGATGCTGAAGAGAGAGGGAGCATCCAGAGCTTCCAGGGGGGGGGGACTCAGTGAGGGACACTGCATTACAACCACAGTCACAACAAATGTGGCATCAAAGTCTTGGATGCAGCTAGCAGGACGGACGGAACTGTGCTAAGGAACAGCACATGTCCGACAGGACCAGAGGGGCACCTGGACGTGGACAGGGCCCTGCTAGAACGTGGACAGGGCCCTGCTAGAACGTGGACAGGGCCCTGCTAGAACGTGGACAGGGCCGTGCTGGAATACCTAGTCCATCCTTAGTGTCCATCCCTTGACCTCCGTTAGCAGCAGATATATCCTACATGCCACCCTGAGCTATGACATCACATTTAACACATTTAGGGGTCTGTCCCAGAACCTCACACCTTTAGGAGACCAAGAATACGGGGAACAGAGATGAAAGCCCCCAACAGAAAGCAGAACGGGCCAGACACACACCCACCTCTTCTTCCGGGTGACTATGAGGACGTCATTGAAGAGGAAGAGGTACACAGGCAGCCGGGACACGCGCTTTATGAACCTGCTGTTGTCTTCCACAACGGTGGTGAGTTCTCCACGCTTCACCAGCCAGCGGGACGAGGAGACCAGCGGGAAGGGCTGGGGGGGGAATGGCACCAAGCAACAGATTTAGGGTCAGTCCTCACTGCTGAGCCTCACAGACTCCAAAGCTGGCGCATCTCAGCGTATCGACACCCACCCCTGTAGGGGGCGCTATATCAGGGAGCAGCCCCTCATGCCACATAGGAATCCATGGAGCCACAAAACTGAGCCTTAGCACCTGTGTCACAGTCTAGAGGGACATTCAGGCATCATATTTAGCTTAATGAGGTAAGGAAAAGTCAACAATCCCCCAAAAGGGAACACCTCCCTCAGTGCCTGCCTGCTGGAGTAGTGTTAACCCCCCCCCCCCCACACACACACACACACACACACACACACCCCAACTGTGGAAAAGCAAGGTGGGAGTTATCTATATATTACATGGTGGGGACCAAATGTCCCTACAATGTCATCACACACACACACACACACCCCAACTGTGGAAAAGCAAGGTGGGAGTTATCTATATATTACATGGTGGGGACCAAATGTCCCTACAATGTCATAAAAACCTGTTATTTTGATATTGCGGGGACTATTTTTTTGGTCTCCACAAAGGGAAACAATTTTCTAAAACTCTATGACTGCAATCAAAAAACTAAAAATGCCAAAACTCTGGTATTTTGTTTGGTTACTTATAGTTAAGGTTAGGGCCGGGTAGGGGGTTAAGGTCGTCATTGTTGGAATTAGAGTTTTTCCCATAGAAAAGAATCCCCACAAAGATCTGAATACAAACTGTGTGTGTGTGTGTGTGTGTGTGTGTGTGAGATCTCAGCTCCAGCTGCCCATGCACACAGCACAGGGATAAAGGCAGACAAAGTATTTCAACAGGTCCTGCTCTGAGCTCCTCCCTTGTTGATATAATTCCACTGCTGCTCTGAATGTGTGTTTGCGAGGGAGTGAGAGGCAGGCCGGGCAGGGGGGGGGGCTCACAAGTGCTAGCTCATTCAGGGTGTAGAGCACTAATCCCACGCTCAGTGTTACCCTCCCTGGTCCTGACACACATGCCGGGTTCACAGGGAGGCCTGCAGACACCGCGACTGCCCTGAACTCGAGCTCCCGGGAACCCGGCCGAGGAAACAGGGCAAGATCTGTGTGGAAGCTGGCATTAGGGAACAAAGGCGGCGTTAACAGAACCTGCTGGAGCCTACTGCTCAGAACCCTGCCTTTGGGTCTGAAGGAACAGATGATTAGACCCATATGTGTCAGCAAACATACCACCTGCAGTTCAGACTAGATAATCCACCTGAAGCTATGCAGGTTTGGGCCTGGCCAGTACCTGGATGGGAGACCAACTAGGAAAACTGGGTTGCTGCTGGGAGAGGTGTTGGTGTGCCTGACAGGTTAGTCTATCCTGTGGTCTGTGTGGATCTCAATGCCCCAGTGCAGTGATGGTGACACTGTGCTGTAAAAATGGCACCATCCTTCGGAAGAGACGTAAAACGGAGGTCCTGACTCTCTGAGGTCGTGAAAGACCCCTGGGCATCCTTTGGAAGCATAGGGCTGGTACCCTGATGCCCTGATAAAATTACCCACTGTGGCCTTTTCTAATCCGCCTTCCTAATCATGCCTGTATCTCACTGGTGATTCTCTCCTGCCCATTCACCACCTCAGCTACTGTGTGGTGAAGGTACTGGTGCAGAATGGCTGCCGCCACATCATCCAGGTGGGGGCCACACAGCGCTGGTGGCTGAAGTGGCTCCCCATTGGTTCTGTGAAGTGCTTTGGGTGTCTTGAAAAGTGCTATATCAATGCAACTTCCATTCATTCAGAATTCCATGCCAAATCTTGCACAATCACACTGTATTGTCTATGCCTTAATATCATGTTTAAACATCTCAATATTCATATTTATTTACTTGTCATTTACACTGTGACCACCAGAATATTATTTCACCTTAATGTATATCCCATGCATCATAAAAATATGAAGATGACAAAGGTATTTTGACTTTGACTTGAGAAGCCACTTTGGAGGACGATGACGAAAAAGTCTGGGCATGTTGTAGTGAGATCATACACAGGACACATTTCACAAGAGAAACCAGCCGTAGTTTGAGCAAAAGTCCTTCTTTCTCTGCCCTCCTTTAACCATCACGTGAAGCACAACATTCGCAGATAGGATGTCGGCTTCGGAAGATTCAGAGAGCAAAATGCTCCATGTGATACAAGAAGCACGCAGAGACCTGCAGATGCTCAGGAGGACAGAGACGTCAGCAGGGCGGCTGGGATCCTCACCTTGATCTTGAAGCCCAGCTGAGAGTTGATGGTGTACATCATCTCAGTCCTCTCCATGCGTCTGGCTCCCTCGTTACACTGACGCACAAGCTGTTCACGCGCGCACACACAGAGGAAACAGCTGTTAGGCTCTCAGACACACACGGGTAAGGCTTTGGTCTCCAGAAGTTTCCCAACCCGGTCCTTGAGGACTTAGACAGTCCATGTTTTTGCTCCCTCCCAGCTCCCTGTAACAAAAATGCGGACTGTCTGCGAGTCCCCGGGGACCGGATTGGGTAACACTGGTCTACAGGACCAGCTCTCAGGGCCCCTGAGCATGAATGCATGCCTCTCACCTTGCTAACTGCCTGCAGGGCTTTCTTACACGCGCCGTAACAGACAGAGTCCTGGGCGGTCTTCTGACAGATGGTCTGCAGGAGAAGCAGAACAGCCATCGAGAGTCAGGTCCCTGCGCAGCACACACAGACGCGCAATACCTGCACACACTCTGGCAGGCAGCATTTGGTGCCATGAAAAGTCCACTTTCGCTCTGTGTGTCTGCTGTGGAGCCAAGGGGTGGAGCAGCAACCAGGGGAAACGGGAATTTCTCAGGGTCTGATGCAGCCGAAAGCCTTTAGCGAGCCTCCGGGGGCCAGTGCATGTGTGTGCGCGACAGTGAAATGTGCGCGACAGTGAAATGTGCGCACCGGTGTGGTGTTGGCTGACTCCTCAACAGCTGTGGGAAGCAACAGAGAAGGCGGAGACAAGGAAAAAAGAAAGAGGAGCACAGAAACAGGATCGCTGGCAGACGACCAACGGATAAGGTCATGTGACCGAGGTGGCGTTTGTGTGGGAGAGGGCAACAGGCACTTATGTAACCGTTCTTTTCCACTCGTAACTAACAGGATGAGAACATCACTGCTTTTTTTAATTGCCTATGTGTAGCAGAAGCCGTCCGGCGATCGGAAAGCAGGCAAATGCTCACGTCCAACAGCAGGGGGAGTCGTGTGACTCGCTGCATGGGCAGGATGAGGAAGGAGTGCATGGGGAGGTTCCGGCAGTCCTGGTGGGCCTCACTGCGGGACAGAACCTCCTTGAAAGTGGGGTTCTTGGTGCTGCACAGGCGGTAAAGAACACAAAGATTGAAATGCTGCCGGAATGGCCCTGTGCGTTTGTGTACCTCCTGGACACAACTTCATGAGACTCACAGGAGCTTCTGCAGTGTGCGCTGCTGGTACACCTCGTTGGAGCAGTAAGTCACGTAGGGGTCAAAGGTGTAGCGGGCGTGCTTTTCCATGATGTCGCTGATGTCGTCGATGACAAAGTTCTGCTGGTGCCGGTCCTCGAGCTCCTTGAAGAACCTGTCCGGGGAGTGGGGCTGAATCACATTCACGATGTGACCAGCAACCCGCTCTACTACGGAACAGCGCAGATCTACAGGCAGCTAATGGAGGTCCAAAACATTGGTCCATCGCCTCCCTTCGCTATTTGAACATGGAAAAACAGATGCCTGATCTCCCAAAGTCAAATCTACTCCTGGAAACTCCCTTGTCACCGTTTGAGTCACCAGGCGTCAGTCCATTCCTTAAGGTGCTGAAAGCCCATTTAATCGGTTAATCTGTTAACACAGAACACACTGCTGTCATCCACACACAGAAATTAGTACATAAAAGTCGCAAGCCAATCCGGTTTTATTTTCTGGACTATAAATGCTTTGAATTACTAATCTCTGTGAAACAGAAGACCAAACAAAATATGTTTAACTTTCTTAGGGAGAAAAAAAATCAGGGATTAAACAATGAGCCCATCTCTGAACATAAGCACAAACTTGCTGGCTGTAATTGCACAACAAAGTGTTTCCCAACACTACCGAACGACTGCGGAGAATAAACGTGCAGAGGGTGGGAGGTGCACCTGTGCGTATGGGTGGCTTTTTCTTTGAAATGGTGTCACGAGGACAGACTGGAAACAGGGATGAAACGCTCCCACACCCGTGACCTTGCGGGCATCACAGGAGAGCGTCCCGTGATCGTTTGCACGGTTTCCACGAAGCACTCACTAAAAACATCCCATCTGCTATATCACAAGCCCTGAGGACAGCAGATGAAGCTGCTTCTGTTGCGACTTGACTTGCCCACGGGGAGCAGAGGCAGCCTCAGATCTGGCCTGGGATACTCTGACAGTGTGGACAGCAGAAACTCGAAATGGCAGCATCCCGAACCAGAGGAATGAAAATACAACAGTGTCGATACTGGGAGAGTCGGCCAGACGGCTCAAACGCCTTATTGTTCTCAGAACATGACATCCCATAATAGCCGAGTGAAGAGAGAGGACTGGGGGCAGGGAGATGATCTATGCTTGCAGTACACCTAGTGTAAACTAGCTACTTTCCCACAATGCACCCATGTGACAAAGTGGTGGGTCACAGCCAGTGGTCGACAGCAGCTTCTACGCAGAAACCATGGTAACAGAGTAAAGATCCTTTCTCATCATCATCAGGTACACTGCTTTGCCACGTCACCCAAATACATCACAGACATCGTCGCCAGTGTTAGGAGGCAGTGTATGGCGTAGTGTCCCTGTGACCGGAAGGTTGCTAGTTCAAATCCCAGGGCTAAAGGTCCTCCAAGGCCCTTAAGCCCCAATTGCCCCAGGAACTGACTGACTGACATCTGAGTGGATGAATAACAGGACGGGACTTGCTGTCGCATCCTCACAGCACTGTGTACGTCAATATATCATCCTCATTTTGAACGTGATATAACAGCAGCTGGCTGTGAGCGGATCACCCAGCCTCCAAACTGAATCATGTGACCCCCCCGAGGCTAAAGCCACCACACTAGTGCCACGGCACACTCCAGAACTTTTCCTAAATCTACCCAAATGGAACGCAGAACGTTAACAGAACATCGGCAAGGACAAACGGAACCAGCCAAGTCAGGGTGGGTGTCTAACTGCGCCGATTCTGGAAAATAAACACCACTTATGTTACGATCCTGTTCTTAGTCATTTACGTACATCGTACTATTAGTCCTCAGTAAACTATTGTTCTACAGTGTGTGAAACAAACAAAAAAAAAATGCCTGAGGAAAATTTATGCCAGTCAAAGTGTCCTATTGACTCATTTGTTTTCAAAGTTTTAAAAAGGGATAAAGATTGTGATCGAAGGTTCGCACAAACGTGCCAATGCACGACACTTTCACTCGCACGCAACTGCACCCAAAGCTGCCCGATTACAGGAAACCCAGAGCCGTATCTTCTGGGCTGGATCTGCATTAATGCCACATGCCACTTTTGAGGAAGAGTCACGGGCTGGTGACCCAGCATGCCCTTCTCCGGCGTCCCCATGGGAACACAGGGGGCTGCAGAACAATCAATGTTAACAATGGAGGTACCGCTGTGAATCAAAACGCACGAGTTTGTGAAGGCAATTAAGTAACAATACCTTACAATGAATGTATCAAATGTAGTTGGCACGGCGACTGATCAGGTGACTTGGCATCAAGCCAATCCCAGAGGAACGGGCGCTCAGCTGAGCCCATCCCATACCGACAGACACCTGACTGGAGTCTTTGGCTGGCCAGGTCACTCCCCCTCTGGACTCCGTCATGCACTTTCTGAGCCATGTACTCCTGACTCTCCCAGGGCGGCTCCCTGGTCAGCATACACAGGCCCAGCCCAGGGTGCGAGCCATGCAGAGCTCACACCCAACTCGAGGGAGCCTGACAGAGCGGATCATTTTGCTGGGGTCCCCACGGACCCCACAGACAAGATGTTTCAGTTTCAGCCCAGAAGATAAGGCAACGAAAACAATGGTATTATATTGTCTTCCCTAAAGCACATGGTATTAGATTTCCTACCGAAAGCAGCATCACCCACCAAGGTGACAAAAGACGGAGTGCGGAACCAAACTGAGTTTCTCTAGCTGTGGACACACAAAACCTCACAGAACTTACTTTTTGCTGGCTTCACAGACATCAGTGATGTTGGAGAAGAGGTGGTGGTTCTCCGTTTTGGTCATGGTGTCACTCAGCTCTGCGGAATTCTTGAACATGCGGATGAGCACCTCCAAACTGCGCAGGTAGGAGTACTCTGAGGAGATGACCTCAAAGATGGCCTGAGAAGACAAGGGGCCCATCAGGGTCTCATCGCCAAACTCAACGGTCCCGGCTCCTTTAAGATCTTTTGTCGTCCTCCTTCGTTCAGCCCGCCCATATTTATTTATGGCACAAAGAAGTTCACTAAGCTACCAGCTCGTGCTCAGACAGCCTGGCTGTTCCCATGGTGCCTTGCTGCACTACATTATGGGACAGTTCCCACACTGAAGATGTCAGTGCGGCTCTGGGAAAAACCCACACGCTACCCCCCAACCCCGTCAGCTCAGACAGACGGAGAAACATTTCACCGCATATCCCAGCAGCCCCTGGCGGTGGCTATAATCTGGCAGGAAGTGACATAGGCAGCAGTATACAGGTGAGAAGACTTATTACCTCCTGCCTCTTCCTCTCCTCGGGGGTCATTTTCTCACACACCCCACTCTTTTTGACCTGGAAGGGAAAGAGGGGAACACAGCAGCCTGTATTATTCCAGCTGTGTGTGTGTGTGTGTGTGTGTGTGTCTGTGTGTGCGTGTGTGTGTCTGTGTCTGTGTGTGTGTGCAGCCACATTTCAGCGCTGACACCTTGGCAGCCATCTGGAACATTCCATTATTCTTTAACCAGAAAAGCAGGACAGTCAGACCTGTCTACACAGAAACATAGAATGACTGGCCAGGATGCAGGTCATGTTCTGGCCTCGGATCTAAACCCCTCACCTGACAGGCCACACTCCCGGCTCCCACAGCCGGTGCCGGCTTTTGGGAAGAGTGCCACATGCCCAGCCCCAGGCTCACCGCGGGGGAATTCCACGTAAGAAGTAAAAAGGCCCGGAATCTGATAACGGCCCATTTCTTAGAAAACCTGACACCCAGACAGCGGGGCAGATTCACGGAACGGGGCCACGCCCTTTATGACGAGAACGGCGGCAGACACCAGCAGCAAGAAACACCTCAGCCGTGACAAGGCCACCAGCCCCCCCCCCCAACCATCTGGACCCAATCACAGAAGATAAAGTGAAAGCATCCAGCATCTGTTAAGGCTAAATTACCACTAGTGCTTTGCACTTTCTCTGCAAACCAGCTCTGTCACCACTAATCCCAGTGCTACTGTGTCGAAAGTACAGAAGCCCCCCCGACCCGGTGCGGCCCACGCAGGCCTGCTTCAGCGGGGCGCAAACAGGGAAAAGTGGAAGAGCCAGAAAACAACAGTGCATTCCTCAGGGCTGCATTGCGAAATAGTGTAATCAGAGGCACAGGGCGGGACCAAGATACAGACACGGAGAAGGAAGCCTGTGTGTGTGTGTGTGTGTGTGTGTCTGTGTGTGTCTGTCTGTGTGTGTCTGTGTGTGTGTGTCTGTGTGTGTGTGTCTGTGTGTGTGTGTC